TGTAATCTTCTTAAGATATCTTGATGAATTGATTTATTACATGATGCATGATGATGATTTAAGTTAGTTCATTATGTATTGATCTATGATGATATATGATGATGTTTTAAGTTGTTAAAGTTGAAAATTGATTATTAATTAGCGTTGTATGAAATAAAGTTGTATGATGATAAGTTGTATATATTATTAAATGAAGTTATGTTGTGAATGCTTGATGTGTTGCATTGTTGACTTAGGATTAGAAGAGAGGTGTTGTTTTAAAAGATAAATATCTCATTGTGAGGATATATATTGTGGTGCTTTGAGAGCCCAATTATTGAAAAATCCTTTCTTGAGTATAGTTGTCTCTTATAGTAGAGTGTTGAGTCTTTTCTAGGCCCTTAGTTGATATTGTATGGGAGTCATACTAGTTTAGAAGTGACCAATCAAGTAAGGTTCAAAGTCGAGGACCAAAATCTCTAAACACGTGCTAGAAAGATGCATAATGTTTGAGGGTAGTCGGTGAGCTAATTTTATATAGGCTTAGTTATATGCATGATAAAGTCGTGGTAGGTTCACACTTAATTTGTTCTATTCTTGACAAGGATCGTGGTAGGCTCACACCCAATTTGTTCTATTCTTGACAAGGATATTTGACTTTCCTAATCTAAGTGGAAAAACTTGATAAGTCATGTTCTGTTGTGGATTGATATCCAAATTTGTTATTGATCTAATAAGTCCAAGATGATCTCATTATTAAGTTGGTTCAATAGAGCCAAACCACTTAGACTGTTCACCTGGTTGTAAGAAATCTCTTATTTGGAATTTGTGATGATGCATAGTATTGATGTGTTGCTATGTTGCAATATTGTTTAAGTTGTTGTGTTGTTAAGTAGTCATCATGTTAGTTGTTTTGTTACTCACATGTTGTGTTGAAGAATTGTATTATTGATATACTAAGTTGTATGCTATTATGTGTTGTTAAATTGGATTTTTTTGACCATGGTTGTGTTGAAAGGATGTTATGTTGTGCAACATATTTATTGATGATGATGTTGATGGTATAATTGTAATTTACTTTCATATTATGTATTGCCTTGTTGTTTGTAAGCTTACTCTTACATTTTTTCTTGTTGTTGGACTACGATAATTATATTATTATGATAATAGAGCTAGATTATGCTAGAGGGTGAACCAAATTTTAAGGGCCATGCTAGAAATGCAGTGTTGGTTGTGTTGTCCTTAAAATATTGTAGATAGTAGCTGCTTGACCAACAACATATAATTATTATTTTTAGTTTGGATTATTGCATATGTGTGTGTATAATTTTGAGTTATAGTCCCACTGAGGGGTTTATATATATATGATTCTAGTTGTTGAGTTTTATACATATATATTGTTGCATATGTATTTAGGAGTTGTTTATATGGTAAACTTAGGTAGTTAGATTTATGTTTTTTGTTACTTAGTTGTTGAGTTGTAAAGTGTATTGACCTATTAGAGGAATTTGTGTAGTGTGTGTATGCACGCACATGTGTGTTTATTATCTTTCTCTTGCTTTTTATTTTGACTAGTTTTAAAATCATAACTCTTTTAAAATGTTTTCAAGATATATATTGCCTTTATTTCTATATATAAGACCTAACTACCTAATTTACCAAGATTAGTGAAGTATATTGGATTGATATTTCATAAGATATTTTAGTATGCATAAGTCCCACAAATTTTAAAATACTTTAAAGTAATGAAATGACTTTAAGATTTTTATAATCAAGATTTTGTAATTTGAATTTATATATATTTGTGTCATAAGAATTTATAAGATTTGAGAGGATTTTGTGAGAATTCAAAGGATAATATGAAGTTCTTTTTTAAAAAAAAAATACAATTAATGGAAAAGATAACATAAATAATAAGATTTATATAATAAAAAAGTAAAACTAATACAATTTTCAAATTTTTTATATACAATGAATAATTGATTCCATTTTTATGTCATTTTAAGTAACATTTCTCTACATATAACCCTTCATGCATTGACATCTTTTCATCATATCTTTCGGTTTGAACAATAACTTAAAAAAAATACGGTGTTCATTATTTAGTAACATTAAAGATTAAGATTTGTCTATTAGTTCAATTTTGATAAATTAATCCTATCTGGGAAAATTAATTTTCACCATATGCAAAAATTATTTTTTGATATATTTAAAATTTTGAGATTTCAATATTAAATTTTATTAAAAATAAATATTAATCAAATTTTAAATATTTAATAATTCAAAAACATTAACAATACATAATATTTATTAATTCAAAAATAATTTTAAATATTTATAATTAAAAAGAAAAAATATTGATAAATTTTATATTAATATTAATAAATAAAAGAAAGATAGGAAAAATAAATAAAGAAAAGTGAGAGATGAAAGAGAAAGAGAAAAGGAAGAGGCGATAAAAGGGAAGAAAGAGAGTTAGGAAGAGGAAAGAATGAGAAGAGAAAATGGAAGTGAAAAAAAGAAAAGAGACAAAGGTAATTGAGGAGATGTAACACCCTTTCTACCCCTAAAGCATTTGTTATGAAATTATTAAGAATATATGTTTTTTCTTAAAAAAGATAATATAAAACAAACTTCCTTATTTTTACTAAAACAGGTTCAAACGTCTTTAAATAAAAAAATCTCTTTTGCATAAAAAGAGAAAACAACATAATATAAGTTCATAAATAAAGGCATAATTGGCATTTTACAAATCTCTTTACTAAAACAGGTTCAAACGTCTTTAAATAAAAAAATCTCTTTTGCATAAAAAGAGAAAACAACATAATATAAGTTCATAAATGACGGCATAATTGGCCTTTTACAAATCTCAAGATAATAAACATAATAAAATTACTCTAAGTCATAAAAAGAATAACATAACATCATGCGATACTAAAATAATATGACCATAAATCAAATTGAAGTATAAAATTTCTTCTCTTGCATGACATTCGGTCTAGAAAAAATGCAACAAAGCAAACACGAGAAATATGAAAATATATTTCACATATGTACAATACATATAGCATATTAAGATATCACACAACTAGAACTCATTCATATCAATCATCAAATTCCTTAGAGCATCTCCGGTGGGGGTTATTTATAAGCAACCCCACTGCAGATGTTCTTAGAGGTCATGTATGTCCCTGATGAATGGGAGTTGCATTTCCTATTTGATTAAATTTGTTTTTTCTGTTTTTTCTTGTGAACAATTTGTTACCAAAAAAGTCCCTAAAATATTTATTATCATTTAATTTTTAAACATGCATCAACAATATTACTATTTGGGGTTAGAATTAACAATATTACTTGAATCACATTTTTATAAATTATCATTAAGTTTTATTTTAAAATTTATTTAATATTTTTAAATTTTAAAAAACTATTATAAGAACATTTAAATCAGAAAGTAAAATGACTGTTTATTCTTGACTAAAGGGAGTTAAGTATGATCCACCTTAGAGTTTTGGAGACTGTAAACATGGGTGCCCTCGAAATCTAAAGCAGACTGACAAAGGTGGATTTGTTTTTCTCTCACTCTTCCACATGAAGTCGTGGGACAGGAACACAACAGGTTCACAAACTCTGACCAACGACCAGAGTGTTCCAAGCTTCCACTACTGAAAAAGTGGAAATGCTTTAGAAAAATTCATTTTTTCACTTTGACTTTTGTAGTTGCAGCCCATGTTGATGCTAACTCTTACGTTATAGACCCACACTTTCCATAAATATTTGTCATAAGACAAACTTACACAAGTTATTTTAACAAGATTTTATTGCAGCCCAGTATAAAAATATATTGTTATTGTAACACACTTTTAATAAAAAAAATTCGATATACATTTTATTACCAGTTAATCACTTATATACTTTTGCTATAGATCAAGGATTATGAGTTTCAGTGCGTGTTTGTATTTGTTTTTGGAATGAATAAACGTCAGTTTATTGGTTTAAATGCTTTGGAACGAGTGCTAAAGGCTATTCAAACACAACCTTAACCCTTTTGAATGATTATTATTAAGTTGGAATGCTGTTTATAAAAAACTTAATATTTAACGTCACTTATTTATTATTTAATAAATTCTTGTTAATAATAAAAGTAATTTTTTAGTAAATATGTTAAAAATAAATTTAAATAGAATACGTTAATAATATATTTAATGGATAAAATATGTTTTTAATTCTTTAATTCTATATTTTATATTTTAGGCTAAAAACCTATTTTGGTCTCTTATAATAATTGTTTGTTTCAATTTAGTCCACTTTTATTTTTAGTCTCAATTTGGTCCCTAATAAATTAATTGATTGCAATGTCGGACTTCCTTCCAAATTAGTTAGACGGAGTTAACTGTTAGTTATGTAAATGCTACGTGGATGTCACGTGGAAGCTACGTAGATACCACGTGGATGTCAATTTTTTGTCATGCATCTGGAACCAGAACGGCCTGTTCTAAAACTAGAACGGCCCGTTCTGGTTTCACTCTTGGTGCGTTAATTTTGTATCCAGAACGGGCATCTACGTAGCTTCTACGTGACATCTACGTAACTTTCACATGGCATCTACGTGGCCAACAGTTAACTCCTTTTAAATAATTTGGACGAAAGTCCGACATTGCAACCAATTAATTTATTAGGGATCAAATTGAGACCAAAAATAAAAATGAGACTAAATTGAAATAAACAATTATTATAATAAACTAAAATAGGTTTTTAAGCCTATATTTTAAAAATAATGTTTTATCTTTAAATTAGAGAGTCAAATTAAAGAATCTAGTTCAGCTGATTGACCTGACTGCGTAAGTATTACAAATCCTTGATACTGAATTCAATATTATTTTTTTTATTTTTATCATTTTTAAACATAAAGATTAAGACCAATTTAGAAGAAAAATATGTTAATGACTTTGTGATGTTTTTTTTTTCTCCCAATGTAACACATTCCATACGGTAAAGTCTTAAATATGTGATATGGGTCTGGTCCGTCCATGATCCATTGCATCCAAGCAATACAAAAGCATGCCAATGAAGCAGGAAACTGAGAGGAAAATACCCTGCAAGAGTGACACCAGTTACTATATATTCCCATTAAAAATTGATTTTCGATGTGTGAACCTTCACCTTGAAACCGATGAGTTTAATTAACTATGGCAATGAAAACGCGTTTTTGGTTTTTCTCATTTCTTCTTGACAGAGTCTCCCCAAAACAAGCCTAAATCATCCACTTCCTCTTCTTTCCTTATCCTCTTCTCTCTCATTCTCTTCAAACCTCCCAATTTTTTCATTTTTATTCAAAGTTTGATTCTTTGTGGAGATTTTGCATTTATCATTTTCCTTAAGTTTTGTTTCCTTGTTTTGTTTGCCTTTTGTGATTGGTTTTGAGAGTGAATTCTCACATCACACGCCTACCCTTTTAATCTTCTCTTGTGTAACCTCAGAGATTGTTGTAAAGTTTTGGTCTTTCTGGGGTTTGAATTTTGTGCCTTGACTTCCACCCTGATTTTCCACAAGGTGCTTGATGTTGGTATCTTCATAATTCATAAACCATGGTTTTGAGGGTTTCTCTCATTGTGATTCTCCTTGTGTTACACTATTCTTTCACTGTGGATGCCGTTTTTGGGCATCACAACCACAATGGATCTTCTCTTGCTGCAGTCAAGTTTCCTGATCATGCAAACTTCAATGCTGTTTCTTCTTCAACAGAATCTGGGTGTAGTTTCTCCAAGTCAGAGAAATTTGAGCTTTCTGTGGCTACCATGACATCAGATGGTGAAGAGGGAGAGCCTTTGGTGGCAGCAGAACAGCACAAGCAATATGTGAAACTCAATTTGAGGCACCACTCGGTGAGAAAAGATGCTGCTGAGCCTAAAAAATCTGTGGTTGAGTCCACAGTGAGAGACTTGAAGAGAATTCAGACCCTTCACAGAAGGGTCATAGAGAAGAAGAACCAAAACACAATTTCAAGGCTGGAGAAGGCACAGGAGCAATCAAAGAAGTCCTACAAGCTGGCGGATACTCCGGCAGCGGCGGCGGCGCCGGAGTATCTTTCCAGTCAGCTCGTGGCAACCTTGGAGTCAGGGGTGAGTCATGGCTCTGGTGAGTACTTCATGGATGTGTTTGTTGGCACACCACCAAAGCATTTTTCTCTAATACTTGATACTGGTAGTGATCTTAATTGGATTCAATGTGTCCCTTGTTATGCTTGTTTTGAGCAAAATGGACCATACTATGATCCTAAGGATTCTAGTTCTTTTAAGAACATAACATGCCATGATCCAAGGTGCCAATTGGTGTCATCCCCAGACCCTCCTCAGCCTTGCAAGGCTGAGACTCAAAGCTGTCCATACTTCTATTGGTATGGGGATAGTTCCAACACAACTGGTGATTTTGCACTTGAAACTTTCACAGTGAATCTCACCACACCTAATGGCAAGCCTGAACTCAAGCTTGTTGAGAATGTCATGTTTGGTTGTGGTCATTGGAATAGAGGGCTTTTTCATGGTGCTGCTGGATTGCTTGGGCTGGGGAGAGGGCCATTGTCATTTGCCACTCAGCTTCAATCCCTTTATGGCCATTCCTTTTCCTACTGCCTTGTGGATAGGAACAGCAACTCAAGTGTTAGTAGCAAGTTGATATTTGGTGAGGACAAGGAGCTTCTCAGCCACCCCAATTTGAATTTCACTTCCTTTGTTGGTGGCAAAGAGAACCCTGTTGATACATTTTACTATGTCCAGATAAAGTCCATCATGGTTGGTGGTGAGGTGCTGAAGATTCCTGAGGAAACTTGGCATTTGTCAGCAGAAGGTGGAGGAGGCACAATCATTGATTCTGGCACCACTTTGACTTATTTTGCTGAACCTGCCTATGAGATTATCAAGGAGGCTTTCATGAGGAAAATCAAGGGGTATCCACTTGTTGAAAAGTTCCCCCCTCTAAAGCCATGCTATAATGTGTCTGGGGTTGAGAAAATGGACCTTCCTGAATTTGTGATCTTGTTTGCTGATGGGGCTGTGTGGGATTTCCCTGTGGAGAATTACTTCATCCAGATTGAACCTGAAGATGTTGTTTGTTTGGCTATTTTGGGGACTCCTAGGTCTGCACTTTCAATAATTGGAAACTATCAGCAACAGAATTTCCACATCTTGTATGATGTCAAGAAATCAAGACTTGGCTATGCACCAATGAAGTGTGCTGATATTTAGAATCTTGCTAGGGATGAAAGGTGTATAGGAGGAGAAAATAGTATATAGTTCAGGATCCTGTGGTCCTAATTAATCACTATACGATATGCAATTGAGTTTTTTTTTCTCGTAAATTGAGAAACTCGACTTCATATTATATAGAAATTGATTGGGATTATGGACATGTAGCAATCTAAGACTACCTAATAATTACTCTTTAAGAGAGAACAAACTATGAACAAGGTAATTCTTGAGGTTGATTTTTTCTTTTTGGGGGGAAAGTGATATACACATAAAAGAAAGAAAGTTGGGTTTTGTTTCTTCAGGTGGCCTAGGTAATTACAGGAACAAGGTCATTACAAATACAAACGTTTCATTTGTTATGTACACATTTAACTGCTTCAATTATGAGTTCATTTTCACTTTCAATTCCATGTGATATTGTCTCTGACTATTATGTGTGGTTTTCTTTTTGTTTACACATTCTCAAAAGGAAAATTGCTCCTTGCAATTGCATACAAGAAACCCGGTCTCACTAACTGGCGATGGCAACGATTTCTATGCTAGTGTTCTATTATTTTATTGTGGAGTTTTCTATAATCTTTGTTTTAAATTCCCCTTTTTCTTGAATAACTGGTCAAATGGAGTATGGTTGTTTCTCATATCAGCCACCAATATATTATTCAATGGCTCAACTGTTAGGCATGTGGCACATTTTTTTATCAGAAACAAAGAAAATAAGCATGCAAACAAAGACTGGTTCAGCTTTATTGTTAGGTACCTCAGTAGCATATATTTTGCCACCTTCCTTTATTTATTGTCGGTATTTGGTTATTTGACAGTAAATAATACCACTTTCCTATTTTAAATTTTACTGGTGAAAAATCTTTCTTTCCCCCTCTCTTTCTTTCTTGTTAAATGATTCTTGATACTAGTACTACATATTCATAGGAACCAAAAAGTAACTCCACTTGTATAAAGTTTGGATGTGAGCACATTAAAGATTCTTATTTTGTTTTTCTTTTATAAGTTGTTGCACAATTATTTTCAAAAACTCCACCCCAATTTTTTTTTGTAGTATATGATAAACTTAAATTTTATGCATTTATCCTAATCCTAGTTCTAACCCCACTTTTATTTGAAAACTGAGTTGTGATAATGACGTGGATTGTGTGATAGTCACCCATATATTTGTTGTACATTTAATTGGTCGTGTTTTATATGGAGGAGAATAATCTTGTTTGACTAGGAGGCAGCATAAGCATAATTTCCTCCGCCAAACAACAGTATTATGGTTTGATTGCAGAAGCATATGTAAGCAAGTAGTATTTTTCAACTCCTGACGCACGTTTACCCATGAGTTGAATGAGTCATCAATCAAATCAGTTAGGTGAACAAATTTAATGTAAAAAAAATATTTGTACCTTAAACATAAACCCTTTTATTGTGGGATACACGTGAATTGGGAACTTTCACCAAGGCCTCATCACATGTGTCAAAGAATATACTACAGTGTGTTGGATTTTATTTTAAACATCGGTTTGAGCAAAATTTGGATGGAATAAGTGTTTACCTCAATTGTAATTTAGAGACTTTCTAACAAAATTCAAACATATACACTAAGCCACAATATGATAGAATATATAATTATCATGTTATAATTTATTATTTATTGCGTCAAGTTAACAGGTATAATAATATTATTTTATCTCTTATTATTCTTTTAGAGCAATGTATTTTTTTTTTATCTTAAAGGACAAGTTAGATTAAGACCAGACATGATAGGATAAGTTATTTTTCTTCTTTTTTATATTACATTATCACATATTATATTATATAATATTATATTATACAAATAAAAATATATAATAAGTATAATATATAATATTAAAAATCATTTTATAAATCTATATTATATAATATTATATTATATATTATGATGTA